GTGGATACATGTGTATAGTCATCCTTAGTTCTTTTTCAGGAACTTCTGCTGACTCATAGTGTCACCAGGTGTTCATTACTCATACATTTTATTTAGTACAGTATGAAGGGTATATTCTGCACATGTGCCCAATCAAATATTGTTCAAGGCACTTTATTAGAAACCTCTGAGTAACATTCACAAATGTGTTAGTTCTCATCAGACATTTACTGTATTCCCTCTGGATCTGTGACCATGTATTAGTAATATTTGGATTTCTTTTTCCCTCAGCTTACTATAGTAAACTTGAGAGCCAGCTCATTTAGGAAGCGTTATGAAAGAGAGACAAGGAAGACCTAAGTAGCACTGGCTAAGAGTTGTCTCTTTGAGTCATCAGCAATGAATGCCACTTTACTAGGTAACATTCAACACATTTCAAAACTCTTCGGTGGACACTCCTTGATTTCTGTCTGCTTAGTTTCTACACATCATTAATACATCTTGGTTCCTTAATAGAGGTCAATTGGGACTTAATTTTTATGAAAGTTATGTGATTTTTATAAAGCATATTTTTCTTTAAAGCTCCTTAATCTCTATTACTATACCTATAAGAAAATCTATATTCTGCTCATGAAAAAAGTAATATTTAGGTTGAAAAGTATATTAATGGGTGGCCAGTGAGATGGAGGTTGTTAATTTTCAACAGACAGATACAAATGATTATAATTTCAATATGTCTTTGTTTTCCCCTCCTGTGGTACTAGTGATTACACCCAGGGCCTTCACATAAAGCTACATGCCCAGCCCTTTTTTCCTCTTTTGAGACTTGCTGTCTCACTAAGTTGTAAATTGTTTAGGCTTGCTTAAACTTAAGATCCCTCTGCCTCAGCTTCCTGAATTCTAGGATTGCAGGTGCATGCCTAACAAAATCTTTAACAGTCAAGATTCTTTTAGAATATACTGTCAAATAGTGTAATGAAAAATAGACACTATGGGGCTGGGGATTTAGCTCCGCGGCATAAGCACCTGCCTTGCAAGCAGGCAGTCGTGAGTTCGATCCCCAGTACCAATAAAAAAAATATAGACACTGTGCCAGGTGTATTGGTATATGTCTGTAATCCCAGGACTTGGGAGGCTGAGGCAGGGATATCTCTGTGAGCTCAAGGCCAGCCTGAACTACATAGTGAGACCCTGTCAAAAAAATAGAGCTTACATGCTGATGAAAAAAATTTTTTTTCTTTGGGTTCTGGGGATCGAACTCATGACCTTGTGCTTGCCAGGAAGGTACTTGTGCCACTGAACTAAATCCCTGGCTCTGCTGATGAAATATTAAATTAGGACGTTAAGATACTTTCGCTATTACTGGAAAACTTTTTTTTTTTTCTGTCTTTGTGATAGTCTTGCTATATAATTCATGCTGGTCTTTAGCTCACTTTATAGCCCAAACTATTCTCAAACAATCCTCCTGCCTCAGCTTCCTGAGTGCTAGGATTACAAATATGAGCCCACTCACCCAGTTTACTGGAAACTGTTTGTTTTGTGCTGGGGATCCAACTCATGACTTTGCTCTTGCCAGGCAGGTGCTTAAGCCACTGAGCTAAATCCGCAGCCCAACTGGAAACTGTTGAGTGTGCTTTTTTTCAGGCTGGCCTGGAACTTACTTTGCAGCCCAGGGTGACCTTGATCTTGGCATCTTCTTGTCTCAGCCTCATGAGTGCTGGGATTACAGATGTGTGCTACCACATCTAGCCTGAGTGTGCTTTTAAAATCTTTTACTTTTGGCATGCTTGACAACACTTTTTCTAGTGACAGAAGTATTCATTCTCTAGTGTAGAAGCTCTCCAGTGTATAGCCATTGAGCACCCGAAATGTGGCTAGTAAATTAAAAAACTTTTTGTAAATGTATATATTTTTACTTAATATAAATGTAAATAATCACCTTTGAGCACAGGTCACAGTGTTGAAAAGTACACATAGATACGTGAGAACTAAGCCGTACATTGATTAAAATATATTGTAATATAATCACTGTTCAGTATGATTCGAAATGTTGCTTTTTTATTTTGCTGTTATTAGAACTAAGGAGAAAGTACACTATAGCCACTGTCCTATCCATAATAAAATATTTCTTGACATATTTGTTCATAAGCATAGTATGGAAAATATTAATAACTAAATCTTAGAAACAGGCTATGTTTATCAGTAGATGAGTGGATAAAGAAAATGTGATGTTTATATACAGTGGAGGACCACTCTGCCATAAAGAAGGATAAACTTGAGTCATTTATAGGAAATGGATACATCTTGAGACCGTAATATTTAGTGAAATGAATCAGACACAAACTCAAATAGCACATGATCTTTTTTATGAGAAACCCAAATTATAAATAAAGAGAAGAATAAAAGATAATGGGAAGTAAGGAGATCTTTTCAAATGGTAAAGGGATCAGGAGTTGAAGAGGGGAAGAGAAAGGGAATAAAAAAGGAATTAAGATGTGTTATGTATATGTACCAACCCCACATAAGGAATATAAACATTGTGTACTACAAAACTATGTACTAATAAAAAGAATTAGTTTAAACAGAAGGGACATTGGCAGTAATTTGAGTCAGTTGCCTGGTGTTACACAGTGGCTTGAAGTTCCATTATTAATATTCTTTCACTTGTCTTTTTCCCTCAGCCCATAACCAGTGAATCCATTTGCTCAGTTTTTCCCCCCATGTTGTCTTCTCTGCTAATTCTCATGTACTTCAACCCCAATATTTCTCTCTGACTTTACTGTGCTAAGAAACTCCCCAGTTTAGGCCTTGGAGATAGCTCAGTGGTAGAGAGTTTGTCCCCCACCCCATGGCGGCGTCGGCGGCAGGGGGGGGGGGGTTGACTCTCAGATCTTTAACCCAACTATAGAAAAACCTTCTCTCCCCTTCCCTTCCCTCTCCTTCCTTTCCTTTCCATTTTATTTTTTCCTGTGGTACTAGAATTAAACCCATGGCCTTCACCTTGAACCACACCCCAGCCTTTTTATTTTTTATTTTGGACATAGTCTTACAAGTTGTCAGGCTGGGCTTGAACTTTGATCTTCCAGCCTTGCCTTCCCAGTGCTGGGATTGCGAGTGTGTGCCACCACACCTGGCATGACTACCCTTTGTGAGGACAAAAGAAACATTTAGCTTCTATAATGTAAAAACTTAACAGAACCTCCCAGTTTTTCTTAAGGAGCTGTGGTCTTTATGTTTAAACTATTTAGGAGATGAGGGGCATTTAAATACTAATATAAATAGGGAGCAAGAGGGGCCAATATATTAAGCATCTCCAATCATCTGTCCTTAGAGATTTGTCTTAGCAAAGTCTTCACAACATTGAGTAATTATCTCACATGTATGTAAACTGAGGCTTGTATAAAGTAAGCTACCCAGTAACCTAATCAGAAATCTCAGTCAGTAAATGAGAATGCCCAAAATTTATGGTTATGTATATTTCTACCACCTCTGCTTTCTTCCATTGGAAAACCATGCTGTCATCTGAAGTAGGCAGAAAGCAGGGAAGAGTTGCAGTATTTGATGTACAATAGGAGACATTTTTATTTATTCTTTGCATCTGGTGAGCCTGCCACAGAAAGAAACAAATATTATTTGGGTAAGTGATATGAATACCTGGTGATTCCAGTGGTGCTGTTTTTCTTTTTCAGGCCAGTTTGCGTAAAGTACAGATGCTTTCTACTCAGAATCTTTTTTTTTTTTTTTTTTTTTTTTAAGCTTTTTAACTTTTTATCAGTACTGGGAATCGAACTCACAACCGCCTGCTTGCAAGGCAGACGCTTATGCCGCTGAGCTAAATCCCCAGCCCCTCTACCCAGAATCTTGAACCCATAGAGATTATTTGAGGGTCTATGCAAACATTTGTATGGCAACTTCATCTCCTTTATTACTACTACTTGCAAAGCAGTAAATTCTCAAAAATCATCATGAACATGCCATTTCCCACACAAAAGTGAGAGTTTTACAGCAACTCTTATAATTATTTGGAATGATCAAATAGACCATCATCTCTACAATTCTTTGGCCCAACTATTGGCACTGTTCACTTAAATTGCCTTTTTTTACTAGACTCCATGAGCATGGCTTAAAGATTCTCTTTCTTCCTGTACTCAAAGTTAGTAGTTTGTGGGCATTGTACACCAAGTCGCCCCAGTCACTGAAAGTTTAGGAATAATAACGTCATGAGCTTGCAAATGAGAAGTTTCTAACCTAGTAGGAAAGTATAAAGATTATTGCAGCTCAGGGTGGTATATCCAGCAAGACCACAGTTGTAATCAGTTCTTCATCTTCCCTGTGCCATTTTATTCTGTTCTTTCTGTGGCTGCATGTAGATTCTCTTATGCCTACCAATGTGTTTGTGTAGTACCTGTGTGCTCATTGTGCTCTGTTGTCAGAGTGGAAATGTGGCTTAGTGGAAGAATACTTGCCTAGCCTAGCATCCCTGAAGCCCTGGGTTCAATCCCCAGTATTGCAAGAAAAAACAAAAACATACTTTGTTGTAGAACCTGTTTACTTGATCTCTAAGCACCTTAAGGGGAAAAACTTGTTTTTGATCGTCAACACAGTACTGGATTCAGTAAGCCTTGGAATTCTTCTTGAATGACTAAAGAGAGGCTCATAAGAGAGAAAGCAATAATGAAACCAGTTCTGTTTTGCAGTACTGGGGTTTGCACACAGGTCCATGCTGAACTACATGCCTAGCCCTTTTTTAATTTTAATTTTGAAACAGAATTCCTTTAAATTGCTAAATTGTCCACGCGAGACTTGAATTTTTAATCTTTCCTCCTCAGCCTCCCAGAGTGCTAGGGTTACAGGGATGTGCCACCATGACTGGAATACTTGAACCAGTTCTTAAAGGATAAGTAGGATTTCCCCAGGTAGATTTAGGAAAGAAATTCCAGCTAAGGGAACAATCAACATACATGGAGGAGATAGTGTAAATGACTAGGAAGGCTAATTTCCACATGGAGTTTAAAGCACAATTATTAATTGTAGGATGTTATTTATTGTACATAACTATCCAGAGCCAGCCACAGTGGATGAGAATAGAGGGAAGGGGATAAAGGAAAGTAAACAGATGGAATATGTAGCTCAATAGTAAGTGCTTGCCCAGCGGTGCATAAGGCCCTGAGTTTAATTCCCAATATCGAGTGTGGAGGAAGCACCTGCTTTCTCCGTATTTATATATCCAAAAATTAAATTAGTCTTTGAAATATAAATTTGTGTGATCTGCTAATAATTTCTGTTGGTCATCTTCAGAAACTCTTTTAAAAGTTTATTTAGTATGTATATATCTTTTTTCCCCAGGATGGGGATTGAACCCAAGCTTGTGCCCTGAGCTACATCCTCAGCACACACATCCCTTTTTTTTGTTACCCAGGATCAAACTCATCACCTAGCACTTGCCAGGCAGGTACTTATGCTACTGCTCAGCCCTTTTTAAATTTTGAGATCTTGTTAAATTGCCCAGACTAGGCTGGAACTTGGGATCCTCTGCTGGGATTGCAGGTGTGGAACTAGCTAATATGTGTATTACTACTGCTGCTGCTACTACTCCTACTACTCCTACTGCTGCTGCTGCTGCTGCTGCTGCTGCTGCTTCTTCTTCTTCTTCTTCTTCTTCTTCTTCTTCTTCTTCTTCTTCTTCTTCTTCTTTCTTGAAATAAAGTGGATTGGGAAAAAATTAAAATACAATACATTTCAAAAATATGTGTATATCTAAAGGAAAGAAAATAATTAGTGCAAATATTTGTACATAGAAGAAGTTAGTTTCACAACTTACACTCAATAAAGGTGTTATATTTGAACTGCATTCACTATAACTCCTTCATCCAATGCAGAGGACTCCTATTTGTTGTTTGTTTGTTTGTTTTGGGGAGGCATTGAACCCAATGCCTTTGTATTGAGATACATCTCCAGCCCTCTTTTATTTTTTATATTGAGACAAGGTCTTAAAAAATTGCTAATTTGCCCAAGTTGGACTTGAACTTGCAATCTTTCTGCCTTATCCTCCCAAAGGGCTGGAATTATAAGCTTGTGCTGCCATGCTTGGCTACATTCTTGAAATTAAAGTGTTTGTTAAAATGTAAAATTGTAAAATGTTGACTTATAATAACTAAACTCTCACTTGATAAATTACAATTAAAAGTCATGGTTTTCAAAAGAATGCACTAAAATGCAATTTTTTAAAAGAGTCTTGCTATGTATTTCAGGCTGTCTTTGAACTGCATTCTGTTGCCCAGGCTGACCTCACATGAATTGCAATCCTCCTATCTCAGCTTCACTAGTATTGGGAACACAGGTGTGCACCCCATGTCTGCCTCGTCGTGGTGCTCACAGGCTAGCCTGTACTCTATTAGAGACACCCTGTCTCAGCCAATATTTATTTACTTATTTGAATGTTGACTGAATGTTTCTACATTTTTTTCCCCGTTAAGATCCCTTAGCATTCTCATTTTCTTACTTGTTCCATTGCTATTTCTTTCCCTATCAAAAACTAATAATAGGGCTGGGGATTTAGCTCAGTGGCATAAGCACCTGCCTTGCAAGTGTGTAATCGTAAGTTCAATCCCCTATACCGATTAAAAAAAAAACTAATAATAGTAGTAAGATAAACGAAAGAAATAGAATGTATCATGAAAATGTAAGGGAAATTCTAGGTACTAGAAATCTGAGGTTTCAGTTTGGAGGGCAAAAATTTACACTAAAGCTGGAGGTATGCTTCAGTGGTAGAGTTCTTGCTTAGCATGTATGAGATCCTGAAGTCAACCTCCATTACTGGAAAAAAGAAATTTTTAAAGTAAAAGTTTTTTTTTTTTTTTTTGTAGCTATCTTTTATTGAAGGAATAGTATTTGATCCTTGATAATTATAGGCTTTGGTGATATATAAGACCCAAGATTTTACCTCCCTACTCTGAGAAGCTGAGACAGTTTAGCAAATTAATAACCTGTCTTAAAATTACAGCGTGTGCACACACTCGCTCAGAAGACTGTGTATGTGTCTTCGTATGAAGGCCCTAGTTTAATCTCTCGTACACAGATTCTGGTGTATTTGGTTTTTTTGTTTGTTTGTTTGTTTGTTTTTGTAGTAGTGAGCTACATTCCAGACACTTTTTAAATTAAATTTTCGATCATACTCAGTTGTCCAGGCTAGCTCAAACTTAGATCCTTCTGCTTCAGTTTCCCAGAATGCAAGGACTACAGGTGTTTACCATCACTCCCACTTGGTGTGTTCTTCCAAACTGCCTTTCTACTGGCTTTGACCCTGGAGAGTGCCAGCCAAACTCAAAATCAGGAAAAGAGGGTGTGGGTTTTTGGGCTGTGCTGCTCAGCAGCTAGAATGTAGTTGGCAGTCTCCTCCCCTTCCGCACTTAAGCTTGCAGTGTACACTCTGGAATGACAGGCATTCCTGTGTGAAGAGAGCCAGCGTGAAGACATACTTGTAAGAACCACAAGTGCGCAGGCTGGGATACAGGAAAACAAAAACTCCAGCAAATTAACTGACCTCCTGCCGTTTCCTGACACTTGGGAGTTACAGTGACAGAGGATTTCAGGTCTCCTCCTTTTGTGGATTTATCTTTTAACAGAAGTTTGTTTTGTTCCGGGACAGTTTGTTGTCGTGAGATACATTAGACAGTATAATCATGGGGCAAGCTGATGTCTCCAGACCGGTAAATCCAGATACACTTGGTGAGTAACAAGGCAAAGAAACACAAAATTTTGACAGAGGCAAGGCAGATTTACTGGTGAAGTGGAGTAGTTCATAGGAATTTAAGTGCAAGAATTTTGATGTTCTTAACTTTGAAATGTTTATAAATTTGTGAAGAATGATTGAAAATATGTAAGTTACCTGTGATGTAGCTCAGTGTAGAATATTTGGCTAGTTCTGGGAACCAAAAAAAATTGTAAGTTATTATCACTCAGTTATGTTAATATATCACCCACAGTGTTGTATTACTTGATCTCTTCTGAGTTTTTTTATATTATATCACTATGAAGCTACCCACCTGTTTCTTTCCCATGTAGAGAATACTACTGCAACTATTTAGAATTCAGAGGGATATTTCAGGTATTTTTGAGGACTTAAAGAATTGCTAAATATGTGATATAGAACTAGAACTTCTGACTTCTAAAAACAGGACCATTTTTTAGTATTGAGTTAATTTTTTAGACTTGGTTATACATTTTCCAAGTAAACTTCAGGCTTCTTCCATCTTGAGAACATCAAGAGAACACCTTGACATATAAACTTCTTAGAAATCATTGCTTTATGTTTGCAGTGTTATGCTATCTCAGGGAATAGCTAGAGATCAGGCTAATAATTTTGAGCATTGTTCAGAGTTTAAAGCTTATAAGTGATTTTGTTGTTGCAAGCTTATTTTCCTAACTTTATATTCAAATAAATAACCTTGTATGAGGACTTATATACAAATTTATGAGATGTTATATCAGTATCTAACCAATTTTTATCATAGTTTCTTTAAACAACTGATGAAACTGTTGAGTATTTTAATATATAAAATGACAAACATAAGTTAGGAAAATTTTTGTTTTGTTCTGGTTTTTTGTTTTGTTTTTGTTTTTGTTTTTTGGTACCAGGATCCATCTCATGACCACACACTCACCAGGCATGCACTTATGCCCCTGAGCTAAATCCCCAGCCCAGGAAAATGTTTTAAGTGGACGTTCACTAAGGAGTTGCTAAATATAAACAGTATTAAGGGAACACTTGTAAATCATTTTTTGGACATTATACTGTTTTTTAAGAGATTTATAACTTTATGTACATTTATAAAGCAACAGAAAACATTTTTTGTCTTACGTTACTTTTCTTTCTCATAAATAAAAAATGTTTGCAACTTTTAGAAGAAATATGAAAGTATGGAAATACAGATGACACTCCCAAATATGACCTACAATTTGATATGATTTCGTTTCTAATGGTGATTTTTTTCACCGGTGAACATTCCAGGTACAACATTTACAAAAGCATTTTCTGTGTCTCTTGAAACTGAAGCACATGGATCACAAAAGTGAGTTATTCAGCAACAGAGTTTTGGGACTACAAGCAGTGCATAAATAACTCACTTTACTTTGATTACCAGAGCTGGCTGTATAGCAGTTCAAACCATTTTTTTAAAAATGAAATGTTTCATAAATATAAAAAGGTACATAAAAATATAAAGAATCCTGTGGGACCACTGCTCAGTTTAAGAAATGAAATTAAAAGCAAATATGTACCTCACCTGCCCCCTCCCTGTGCCTTTATTTCCTTATAGTGACATTTTCTTCATTATTCCTAGATTCAACCATTCTCCTGCACTGAAGTAATAACTTGCTTTTGGACCACTAAATTCTCCTGTGATTTCTACTCCAAAGATTAGTTCGTTGTTAACAAGTATAATAAGAACTCAAATAATGCTGGACACTTATCTCTGAGATAGGAAAAGGTTTTCAAAAGTGTTACATTGTTAAGCAAGTACAATTTATTGATAGGTGGTATTTATGAAGATTATCCATCCAGTATGTATAATACTATATGAAAGAAAGAATTTGTGAATGAAGTTTATAGTAAATTTGTACACTTTTTTTTTTTTTTTTTGAGACAAGGTCTTGCTGTGCAGTTCATTACTCACTAGGTAGTCCAGGCTGCTCTTGAACATACACCAGTCTTCCTGCCTCACCCTGCTGAGTGCTGGGATTATAGGTGTACACAACCACACTTGGTCTTTTTTACACTTTTAAGAATCAAATTCATTAACCAGGTGTGTTGGTACACATCTATAATCCCAGCTCTCGGGAAGCTGAGATAGAAGGATCTCCACAAGTTCAGGGCCAGCCTGAACTGTATTGCAAGAGCTTGTCTCCAAAAGCAAAACAAAAAGTTGAAAATCAAAAGCATAAAAAATTAATAATATTTGTAAATTTAAGATTCATCAATGTATTCAAGTTAGTTGACTCTGACTTACAATGGAAGAAGGAAGCCAATGACTAAAGTGCAGTTTCAAATAAATAACCTTGCACGAGGACTTATATACAAATTTATGAGATGTTATATCAGTGTCTAACCAATTTTTATCATATTTTCTCTAAACAACTGATGAAACTGTTGAGTATTTGAAAACAGAGTAGGAGTTTATGCTGTAGTGACTACTCGAAGATATAAACAGTTGAACTTATCAGTTCATAGGGAAAGAACTCTTAAATGAAATATATCTGTAGGAGAAAACTACAAATTACCTGAATAAAACTTTCAAATAACTGGGCGTGGTGGTGCACACTTGTAATCTCAACACTTGGAAGACTGAAACAAGATTGCCATAATTTTGTGGCCAGCATGCACTGAGTCCAAGACCAGCCTGAACTGCATAGGGAGACCCTGTCTCAAAAACTTTCAAATAATATTTCGTAGTTCTTGTCCAACATAAAAGCTGACTGTATGTTCACTAGAATCCTTTACTGTGTATCATATTTTTTAAAAAATTAGCTAATCAGGGGCTGGGGATTTAGCTCAGCGGCATAAGCGCCTGCCTTGCAAACAGGCAGTCATGAGTTCGATCCCCGGTACCAATAAAAAAGAAAAAGACAAAAAAAAAATTAGCTAATTAGCTAATCAGCACATGTCTTTAAATTTGGGGCAGGACCAAAGGATTTTAATATGTTCTATCCAGCCATTTAGTCTAGAGTTTTTCTCTTTCTTCTGCCATAATATTTCCCTTCAACTTTCTTTTTTCCCCTTTTATTTACTTTCCATTCACTGATTATCTTATTTTTTCCACTTGTCTTTTGTATAGGAATATATTGCTCTAAAATATACTGTATTTTTTCTTTCTTTACCTTCATTTTCCATTATTATTTGATTCATTTTGCTGTGAAATTTGTTGTTACAGTTCCTCACTCTCATAATAATGAGAATGATTTAGGGGGAGGTGATAATGAATTGTACAGAGACAAAGCCCTAAGACAGTTGCTAGATATTTAGTGTAGCTACTTAATAATGCAAGAATAGAATCCAGGCATGGTGACATGTTCCAGTAGTCCCAACTATTCAGGCTAAGACAAGAGGATTGTTTGAGCCTACAAGTTCAAAACCAGCCTAAACAGAATGGTGAGACCCCCATCTTTTGGGGTGTGTGTGTGTGTGTGTGTGTGTGTGTCTTTTTGAGACAGGAACTCACTGTGGAGTTCAGGCCTTGAGCTCACTTTGTAGCCCACGCTGGTCTCAAACTTGCAATAATCCTCCTGCCTCAGCCTCTCACCATGCCCAACTGAGACCCCCATCTTGATGATAGTGATGGTGATGAGGACAACGATGATGACAACCATACAGGTGGTAATGATCTGTGAGTTAATTAAAAATAAGGTACTTAGAATGAGAGAGAAGTGAAGTACAGTCATCAGACATTTCTCCTATATAAAACAGTGGTGTAACAATGAATCTGAGAAAGCAGGAACAGGCATACTTTCCCCCATACAATTTTGTGTTTAGCGGGAAGTGACAGTGTAGGATTCTGTTGTGGACTCCTTAAAAGATTTTCTATTGTTACTGAACTTGAAATAACCAACCAAAATTTATTGACTTCTCTCTCTGCTCAGTAGATAGTCTAGATATCTTACTGCTACAGTTATACATTTTTTCCACTTCCAGATAAACTTTGGAAAATTAAAACTTTGTTTTTCTGCTGGGCATGGTAGTGTACGCCTGTAATCTCAGCACTTGGGAAGCTGAAGCAGCAGGGTCACTTCAAGGTCAGCCTGGACTCCATAATGAGTTCAAGGTCAATCTGAACAATATAGGAAGACCCTGCCTTAAAAAAAAATTATATACAAGTTTGCATCCTATTTTCCTTTTTCTCTCTCCTTCCTTCCCTTTCTTCCCCTCCCCTTGCCTTACTTTTTCTTTTCTGCCTCACATGCTACCTAGCCATGCATTCCATAGTCTTGCACTATGCCAGTGATCAGTGCCCGCAACCGGTAATCATATCTTGATGCACTCGTGATCAGAAAGCTGTATTTTTTTTTTTTTTTTCCAGGACTGGGAATACAGCTCAGTCTGGCAAATGTGAGGTCATGAGTTTGATCCCTGGTACAAAAGAGAGAGTGGGGGAGGGGGAGGGGGAGAGGGAGCTGTGTTTTTTCAGAACCAGAATTCCTGATTTAACTGTACTTGCAAGTGCAGAGAGATTTCTCCCTATCTTCTCTTGAGTACTTTTTCTAATTCTTTGTAATCCCCTACCAGTCAGAGTCATACAAAATATCCAGAAGTTATGGGCCTTTCCTAGACACAAAGTCTAGTTTACAGGTTTAGGTTTTGGAATTTTGTTACAGTTTTCTGAAACAGTCCTTTCAGTCCCATAATTGGCTTCTTTAAGAGAGCAAGATGAGTTAAGTGCAATAGTGTAAGTACCATAAATTACTGTTCTCCATTTACAGATTTCTCATGCTGGGAAAGTGCTGTTTGCAGTGAAATCTGTTTCTAGCTAGGTGAATATGAAATAGGTAAAATTCTTATGTTATTAAGATATTTCACATTTCTTGCTTGATACTGAAGTATGTGTCTTTAAGTTATATTTTAAAATTTTGGACAGCTAACTAATTATATAACAATATTATGGTCAGAAATACAAGAACTTACACTTTAAATTTAGAGTTTTAAAAATTTGATAAAAGAGAGGACTTTGTCTCAGTGG